CTGACAGTGGCTATTACATGTGACATTACCCCACACTTTTTCCGTTATTTGTTCTTGCCAACCCGTGATATTAATGTTGGCATTAGGACCACAATATAAAATAACTAACTCATCATCCAAACCATGATCTTTGCTGGTGTACAGTTATATAAATCATCTATATATGTAGTTACATCATCTGTACCATATTTATAGGCAAGGATAATCACAAGATCTGTGTATTGTTCCCAAATACAAGAGAAAAGAAAATTAATGTTATATGGGCATATAGCTATATTAATTGAATTTGACTCCTTTTAAAGTGACAAAAGTGTAGAAAACGGGGGGGGGGGATTCAATTATTATTGACTTAAATTAAAATATATAAAAAATTTAATTCACTTAAAAAGAAAGATAAACGTGCCCTTAGTTTGTTTTTTTTCTTCACCTTATACAATTTTTATTAGGGAATTAAATATCTTCGTCCCAAAATCTTAATTTTCTTTATCTATGGTTGGCTAGCCTTGGTCTTTGCTTAGTTAATTTTAATTTAGCTGCTTCTGAACCAATGAATTTTATCTTGTGGGTAAAGTGAAAACAAATATCAGGACCCCACACACCTGCAGGTACCATTCGTATGCAATATGTGGTGGGGGAAGGTTGTTTCACAATGTCTCCCGGCCGGACCCAAAAACAAAAAAGCTAGTTCCACAGTGCAAATTAAATATAGGGCTATACATTTAGGCGATGAGAAATTTTGGGTCATTAATTCAAGCTTTAATTGCTCATAATTCAGGGTAGGGAGAATTCTGGAGCAATATTCTGCTGAAACTCTGTTCCTGCCGTGTATTGTGTCCCAAACTCATGAGTTCAAACTTCAATGCATTGTTGTTAAATTAAGGTGTGTATATATATATATATATATATACACATTCTACTAAATTATTCAAATACAAATAAATGCAGTTGTATTTAATACTTGGAAAAAATATTGCTACTTATAGTGTGGTCTATCTATTAATTCTCGAATATGATTATTTTCATTGTAGTGTTTGATACATCGATGGGTGCTTGATTAGTCAAATGATTAACATATATAAGCTGCATGTATGATATTTTGTTGGCTTCCACATTAAAAATTTTGCTTCAAATAATTGGATATTGTCTCACAAAACGATGGACTTTGTAGTTTGAGCTTCGAGGAATGCTGATGTCAAGTTTCCAATTTAAAGGTGACGGTTTTATTTAGCATCAGTTGGCAGTTGTGTACACCAAAAATATATAGTTTTTAAGTTCTTATAGATAATTCCTAAAATAAAGATCGTGTAGATAAGAAGATAAAAAAAAAAGGGAGAGAAATAACATCAGTTCCATTTTTATTTATCTATCTATAACATACATAAAATATGAAATGCAAGGAATGTCTTTATTGTTTTTTAAAACATTTTAAAGTTCTTATCTATTCTACACTTATTTATCTCTTGACAGTGAATGTAGTTTAATACTTGAGAAAAAAATCATCATAATGATAATAATATTTAAAAATAAAAAAAACTAATACTATCTCAAACATTTAGCAAAAATAAATTAAAATGAATAGAATAGGTAATTAGATTACAAAGTTGAAATAAGTAAACATTGAACTTAAATAGAAATTACGTGAACATCGAATGTATATCAATTTATTAGCGTTAAGTTATTTCAATTTAATTATAACTGAGTTCGAGTCTTAAATATACATTTGTGTTAAATACTATAAGTCTATAATTTTATACAAATTGTTTAATAGAATAAAAAACCGTTTCGTCACATTTTTCTAAAGTATATTAATGTGAACATGTTTTTATTGTTTTTTGTTTTTGGAAATATTCTTAATTTCTCAAAATTTTTCTTATTTAATATTTTAAAAGACCAGATGTGAGATTAAAATTTGTAAACTTCAATTATTTTTAATTTTATTAATTTAAAATTAATAAATTTTTATTACAACTATACTATTTAAAATTAACTTATTATTTTTTCTGATTTTTTATAATATGTATTTTTTTTTAAATAACTATATTTTTTATAAGACATTTTATAATTTTTATAAAAGTATTTATCATGTTTTTCAATTTGTTTTTAACAAATAGAGTTAATAGATACTTAAATTAAAACTAAAAAAAATAAAAGTTGACAATGAGATTATATTCAATTATATTAAATGAAAGTGAAATTGTCTATATTATATTATTTAAAAAATAATAATTCTAACTACTTTAATTGATCCATGTAATTTAGTAAAAGATGTTTTATAAAAGAATTTAATATAGAGTATTATTAATTGTTTATCTAACCAAAAATATAATAGAATTATACTTATTCATGAAATAGTGTTGAGATCAATTATATGGTCGTAAATAAAATAAAATATCTACAATTGATATTTTCTCATGAATTTGGCATGCTTTCTACACAGGGTTAAAACCTACAATTGATTTTATTGGTACTTCATGGGCATTTTATTTCGCTAAGAAGTTAAGTTGAAGAAATTATGATGTTTGTTGGCTCTATGATAAAGGGAATAGTAAGACAAATATGCTACAAATAAAATGTGGTTTGAATTGAAGTTCAAACTCAAGATCAAGCAGTCTTTAAGAAGACTTAATTACAGCCAATTACATAACTATGGCTCTTGAGACGAGATGACCAAGAATTTTCTTAGAAGGATGCCATTTTTCATTCTATAATTCTAATTTATAAACACAGTATCAACCCAAGTTTAATTTTTTAAAAATTGTCATTTATTAACAAATAAAAAATTCATTATTCGAACATCTTTTCTTAATATAGCGTTGTTTAACAAAAAATAAATTATTAGTAAACATTAAATACATATATTAATAAGTAATATATTATACTAACATTTAATGAATTATTAGTTATATATATTAAAATTTTTACCAACAAAATTATATATTAATATAATATATATTATATTATTAGTATAAATTCATAATATATTAAATAGTCTAAAATTAAACTGTTATTAAATAATTTCTCAAAATATACAAATACTATTTTTATCCCATCTATAAAAAAATAAATGATTAATCCATTACGACCATAAAAGAAATGGATTCAACTCAAGTTGGGGTTATTTATAGTAGGCCTTTCAAGTTTGATCACAAGCCCAAAGCAAAGTTTGATTTGACTCAGTCCAGTTTTTCTTTGTGACCAAAATGAAAAGGTCCCTTTTTTCAATAGTTGCTTTGGAATGTTATGGAATCTGGTTCTTGTGATTTATATTAGTATTTCATTTAATTTCAAAGATGTTAAAAGGGTGAAATTAGTCGAAAGTTATTGCAGTCAACATTATTACTTCCATGATATTATACCTCTCGTAACACTAATTATTATTAATGATGTGAACTTTGTATACAATCCTCTCATTGCAATTTCACTTTAGGATTACAATTTGTGAAACTAATTTTGAGTAAATTTGATTTTACAGTTTTAGCTTTAGAAAATTATTTTTGAGGGAATTGGTTCATGTTTGAAAACATTTTTGTAAAGAGTAATTTTAATACAATAAATTTTAATGTATATAATGTAGACAAATCATTTTTATATGTGTGACAATGAACACGGATACGTAAATATTTTTAAATTAATGTTACAATATTAAATTATGAAGATTTTTTTGTGAGTATGTATTGAATGAGATTTTTACTCTACATTAAAAGTAACCAAAGTATTATTACTATTATGGCTAAGAGATTAAATTATATTTATGATTAATGTGGAATAATCATTTAAAAAGAGAAAATAATAAGGAAATAAGAAAGAAAGAACACCTTTCTAGTCTTAGTAAAAAAAAAAATATTGAAGAAATGGTATTTGACTCGTAACGTTTTCAATTGAGTTTATCTTCTAAAGGATATGGGATAATAAACTCAAAACAAAATGATTAAGTAATAAAATAAAATATATTTTTTATAAATTGGGACTAACTTGTAATTTAAAAAAAATGTATTTAAATTCTTTAAAACTTAAAAAGCATAGATTACTCTAACTTATAAGAAGAATTTTATTCAATTTTGTATATTAAATTATTCTCTTATTAGTGCTTATCTAGAAATTTATCAAATTAGACCATATTTTAAGACATGATAGTCAATAATAAGAAAGTGATAATGTTAATCATTGTTCTAAGAGCTCGTATTAAAGTTAAAAGTAAAAACTTTTGTCAAAAAAATATAATTAATACATTTTTATATATTTTCAATGTAATTTAATATACATTTTGATAAATGCTTTTCCATTTTGATTTCTTAATTAATTTGTTAAGACACTGATTAGAAAAATTCAAAATAAAGAAATCCCTGTTTATAAGATGCAGCTTTCATCAATTTGGACCAAAACCCTTTATAGACAACATGACCTTAGGCCTTTTATTTCTAAGCCTCCTTTTACTGTCATTAAATTTTTGTTTCTCTTGTTTTTTACTCGAGAGAAAAAAAATCTTGACAATAAACATGTTCTAAGAAATATTCATATTACATGCTCTCACGATCGCCCTTCGAAAAATTCAGACATTGCATTAAACTTCTTAATTAGTGCACCCTCTTGATATTTGACAGCATGAAACTAATATTCTCTCTTATTAAAACCAATATTCAATATTCCAAACATGCAACTAAGCATATTAATTGGTTAATTATGTAACCAATCAAAGCAACATGTTACAAAAGATTTCATAATAAGTACACTTCCTCTTTAAACCCTTAGTCAACTAATTGAGGAAAATAATAAAAGAATTCAATAACTCAGCATCACTTATAAAAGGCACTTTCAAATCTAACCAGATTAGTCCCATAAACATTAAATCATGTTTAAATATATTTTTAAAAATAATAAAAAATATTAAAATAGTATGCCACCTGGACTTTCGGCCCAGACCCAGGCCCATTATTGAACTTGAACACCCCCCCCCCCCCAACATTGATACATTATAATTATAAGTTGTAACGTGTTCTGGTAACTCAGGTTCAGAAACAGTAACAACAGTGAAGGAGAATCCCTGTCGGTTCCAATTGCATCTCTTACTTCGATTAGATCACTGGTGCGTGTATGTACAATTCGATCACTTGTTTACTCATCTTTTTTTTCTTATGGGTATTGAATTTAGTATTTCAGCTCAACATAATAATAAACAATTGCAAATTTTTTTATTCTTTAGGAATGTTCTAGTTAATTATTTCGTGTATGTACACGTGTTAGTGTTTCAGCGTACACCTGAGAAAAACATGAATTCCGGTGGGTACACTGTAGAAGTTACGGGTCTCTCACCAAAAGCCACAGACAAGGATGTCCGTGACTTCTTTGCTTTCTCTGGTGCCATTGAGCATGTTGAAATTATCAGGTATAAGCTTTTAATTTGACCCTATTTTTGTAATTTTTAGAATCATTTTTTTTATGGGATAATTATTGATGATTTTGATTTTGTGAAGTTCACAGCTTAGCTTAGCTCAAACTCTTCAATTTTTGTTATTGATCGCTTCATGAGGGAGGAATTTGTATTCGCTATGCATGATTAGCCAACCGATTATGAGCTGAATATAATTGATTCAGTTAGAAACGTGGAATCTGCAAACTAAATGGCTATGGCAACATATAATAATTTTTTATAATGTGTGTGTAGAGTATCCTTGATGTCATCACATGAACAAGACTTGGTTCCATGTTTTGCATTTGTTTAATGTAACATGATAATCATTTTGGCTCATAATTCTCAATATATGTAAATCACCTTCAATTTGTGTTTAGGTTAAAATAAACAATTACTCATTATAACTTCACCTGATCTGGATTTTGGTCCTTCAAGCTTTTTTTTTTTCGGATTGGTTGGTCCCTTTGGTTTCACTCGTTTGGATCTTGAACTCTTACGAACCAATATCTTGATAATAGAGAAAACTATAAGAATGGCTCGTTAAAGGAAAATAAGGACCAAGACCTTAATGAATAGATACTAAATGGGCATCAAGTAAACCCCAAATGAATGGAAAACATTAGAGTTTTAATAGAGGGACAGGTATCTAGAAAAATAACTATAGGGACTAGAGAGAAACTATAATGATTAATTGTTTATCTGAACCTAATTTTTATCTTTGTAATTTCTTTCGCTTTTAGTTGCTTAGCTTACAGTGGTGTGGTGTATAATTTTTGGCCTGGTAACAAGTTGCATGCATGAGATGGTTTGGAGATGATTATAAATATTCAATTGGAATATTTTAATCAGTTATGAATTTTATTAATTAAGCTTTCCTAGAGGGATTGCTTTTATTCTCCTCCCGGTAAAAGAGAATTTATCATCGATACTTAACAATGTGTTTTAAATACTTGAACTGAAATTACTTGTAGTATTACCATTAAAAAAAATTTGAGATATTGTTAGGCATCATATTTAAAATTTGAATGATACTTGTTTTTTGCCAAGGACAGGTCTGGTGATTATGCTTGTACTGCTTATGTGACGTTCAAAGATGCATATTCTCAAGAAACTGCATGCTTGCTCAGTGTGAGTATTTATAGAACTAATGTCCCAAATACTTATAACATTGAAGCTTGAACAATCTGTTCTGTTTTTAATTTGCCTCAGTAGTAAGTTCCATAACATGTTTCATTTTTGTGTGCCTTTCTTCATAATTTGTTCTCTTAGGGAGCCACAATTTTAGACCAACCCATTTGCATAACACGCTGGGGGCAGTATGAAGATGAATTTGATTTTTGGAATCAGCCATCGAATAGGCACAGGGAGGAGACTGCTTCAAATGTATGTATCTGTATTTTTCTCAATTGTGCCAAATTGCCGATGATTATGGCTTTTCTTCATTGTCTGACATTCTATGTTCTTACATTACATATTCTTTCAGACGCCACAAAGCAGTCAATTCATTTCCTCTGCTGGAGAAGCTGTAACTATGTCTCAAGAAGTTGTTAAGACCATGATGGCTAAGGGATATGTTCTCAGTAAGGATGCATTAGCTAAGGCTAAAGACTTTGATGAGTCTCATCAGGTTTCTGCCACTGCAACGGCGAAGGTTTCTGAATTGAGCCAGAGAATTGGCCTGGCTGACAAGTTATCTGCAGGTGTTGAAGCTGTTAAATCCGTGGATCAGAGATATAACGTTTCCGAAACAACAAAGGCAGCTGCATCCACAGCAGGAAGATCAGTATCAACAGCTGCAAACTCTCTGGTAAATAACAGCTATTTCTCAAAGGGAGCCTTGTGGGTGTCAGGTGCTCTAAACCGTGCAGCTCAAGTTGCTTCTGATTTGGGAACCCGTGGCAATACACAGTAAGTCATTGTAATAACTCAAATCCATCTTGTATGTATTCTGCCTTCAGCTAAATAGCTTTTTGTAACTTTAGTTGATAATCTGTATTGTGATTATGAATAAATCTTTGGTATGCCAACACATGGTTGAACTATGCAACCTTAGCTGTTTCTGCCACTGAATTATGATCCTAGCTTTTCAGAACATGTTGGTGAGAGGTAGCATGGGACTGAAAAATTTGAGATTAATGTGTAACATGTGGACTCGAGTTGGGTTATTTTTATCTTTTTAACGAGCCTTTTTTCTTTCTTTTGGTCATTATCCAACTTGTATTCTTAATTGCTTTTATTTGATTGCGGGCCAATCTTTTCTTTTGGTCGTGGGCCAAACCTTGTTTAACTAATCAACCTTTTTTGCAAACGTTGAAATAAAATATAAGGCCCAATAGGCCAGAACCAATCCCAGTATACAACAGAGGGTAAAAGAGTGGGCTTAGTATATTGGATAACGGGCGTTGGAAAAAAAAGCCAGCGGGCAAAACTATGTTTTATCCAATATGGGGGTTTAATTTTAGTGAAATACACTCCTTTTTTATGAGACACAGATAATATATTATTTTTATTATTTAATTCATTTAACTTTATGCCGTCGTTTTAATTTTTATTCGTATACATTAATTCTTTTTAAAAAATTACATTTTACCTTCTTTTTTCAAATACATAAAAGTTGCAAGTCATTTATATGTGAAGTTTTTTTTTTTTTTTACAATTCTATTTAACGTTGAAATAAACTTTTAAAACTCTTATACAATGACAAGGTTTAAAACATAGAATTCGTTAAACAGTTGAAAATTTAACACAGACACACACACACAGAGAAAGATATAATAATATTTTAATGAATAATTTAAAATGGAATAAATTAAGATAGTATATTTAAAATAAAAAAATGATCGTATGATATATTATGAGTGGAATATATTTTAATTTTAATTTTAAATGAATGAAATTGAGAATTAAGAAGCGCGTAAAAAATAGTTTGAATTATATATTTATACAAGAACGTTAAAATCTTCATTAAAACGTACGAAAAATTATTTGTAAAATAAACAGATGTTCCCATTTCTTACAGTTTCACGTTATGTTACATCATTATTTTTTTTTCACTCTGCAGTCAATTTTATTATTTTTTATCTCTGTTACCTTTTAAAATAAGATCACCTTCCATTTTTACTTTATATAAAAAAATATTTTTATCAATTTAATTATTAAATTAAAATTATATTTTACTTTAATTATTTATGATAACTTTTCTCAAAATTAAACAATTATAAAAACAAAATTAAATATCTTGTTTTTGTATTATTTTACAAATATATATTACTTTAATTTTGTTATATAAATTAAAGTAATATATATTTGTAAAATAATTAAGGTTTATGTATAGAGAAAGTTTAGATGAAAACATACACTGAGACTCAAAAAATGTTTATAGAAATTTATGTACCAATTAAATTATTACATCGGCAAAATAGATTAATTTTACGGATCGTTCGCCAACTAGATACTTACATAAACCTTTTTGTTCATCTTTCTGTGTGTTTGGTTAAATTTAATTTAATTATTTTTAACTATAAATAATATTTTGATACTGAAATAAGCGATAAAAAGAAATTAGAAAATATGATGTTGTGATGAGATATATAAATATTAATGATAGGGAAGAAAATGTTAGCTAGCACTAATTAAATAGGGAGATTGCAATCTGGAAGTTTGTCTGGCGTTGATGCAGGCATGCCATATGTTATGCTTCTAAGTTGCAGGTTATTATGGTTGCCTCGTCAATTCCATCACTTTTGCTGCTAATCACCTTTTATCTATTCCACATTAATAGTACAAAAGCAAAAAGGACCTTGTTCCTTTTACACTCCCTCTAACCTGGCCCTTCTGTACGGACATGTTTTTTCAACATTGTTTGGGCTGTGGACCATTATTTACATTATTCTTTTATCATATGCTTTTTTACTTCGAAGAAAATTTGCTTTCCTTGTTCATCAATGTGAAGGTGTTTTAAATGTAGGAATCATATTCTGAAAAATATGATGACTTGAAATCGACAAAAAACAACCAACTATACTAATAAATCTACCTATATATGTACTCATTGTAATCAAATTGAACACGCTAGAAATTGTTGTTTTGAACCACTAGAATAACCAAAATAGAGGGATCACAATCGTGTTCCTCATAAGAATATTAAGAGGACGCCAACACTTACAATTGCTAAAGCAAATACCAACAACGATATAACCTCTACATGGTAGCAGCTATGGATGATTGTCGTAAGGTTTTTAATATGTTTATATCTTTTCTTTTCTTTTTTAAGCGTATGGATAATTGATTTTAGTGTTACAATATGATATCATTTTGTTTTTATTATTATACAACCAAGTCTCAATTATTAGTTAAATTAAGATCTTTTAAGTCTTACTAATATTTCAAATCTTGATTATGTTTAGCTGTCTTATATTATTTTAATATTTTGTTTCTCAAATAATCACAAATGTATCTTGTGCGGTAATTCTTTTGGCTTCCCTCTGTGTTTTAAAGGACATGAAAACAAAGTAAATATGATTGGAGAAGGTTTACAATCAACTTCTAGTTACTTTGCTTCTGTGAGAGGTAATCATGTCCTATGCACAAGAAAGGGAAAATGTTAGTGCATCAAGTGCACGAGATGAGTTTGAAGGGTTGACACTTGGAATTTCCGAAGGTTTTATAAGACTAAGGCTTCTTATGTATGATATTTCACACTTATATAATTTATATGTCTTGTAAAAAAATTGGTAACACACTTTTTTTATATACTATTATTTATTAAAAATTATAAAAATATGTAGATTTCATTCCTTTTAATTTTAAATTTAATGATTCATTTATATTTATATAATTTTTAATAAATGTTAGTTAAAAAATATAAAAATGTTTTTTTAACATCGCTCTTTATCTAAAATGTGATAGTAAAATTACATGAGACACTCTTTACATTTTAATTAACACGATCAAACAAAACATGTCAAAGTAGATAAATTAATTATAAAAAAAATCGTAAAAGAAAAATACTTTAATGAAAATTACTAAATTTCAATTCACTACTACTTTTATAAAAATGGTCTCAAATAAATGATATCCTAAATGTCTTATTAAATTAGGCTCTTAGAATATTTTAATCAATTTAAAGAAAAATGCTGATATTTTTATTTGGATTATCTCTATGTAATTTAAATATATATTGATATAAAATTTATGAAGTTGAAAAATATTTTTTTTTACATAGAACTAATTGATTGTCTAGTATCTTAATTACTAGTTCGTTTGTACCTTATAAACGTTTTACATTTGTTTGCATTTTTAATTAGACTAAACATTTAAATGTCTCTCTCGATAGCTTACTAATAAATTAGAGAGGCATAAAAAGTAATAGTGTATTAAATTTCATCCCTAACTTCTCTTTCTGTGGTCCCATCCCCTCCCTTGAAAAAAAAATTATTTAACTAGTTGAAATTAAATGTATAAAGTATGTACAAACAATTTAACTTATTTTATCACATTCCTATGCACAATTAATAAAATTTTCATAAGATGAATCTTTCCCAAAATATTAAAATGTACATTGTTCATAAGATTGATACTAAAATACTTTCTTCCACGTCAATTTATATCAAAATAACATATAATGCTTTTCAAATTTTCAAATAAATGATACTGTTCATACTACTTCTTGCACTTTCCTTTTTTTTTTTTTCCCTTTATTTAACTACTAATAATTCTGTTAAATAGTCATTGATTTAACCTAGTCACATCCACATTTCTTTTTCTTAATCAAACATGAAATTGTGAACAAAATCAAGATGCTTCATGACCATATTCACTTACTATTTATCAAAATATGTGGAGATGTAAGAAACATGCATGGATAGAAATAGAATCATAAATATAGTTGCCGGTTTGGGTTGTAAAAGAAATGCATTTTTTTTAAATTCAACCCTATATTTTATAGTAGTATTAATTTCGTTCCTAAAATCATGTTATTTATATATTATATTTTTGGGAAAGAAAATAGTTTAGTCATTATATTTAAAATGCTTTGCTACTTCTCTTTCAATTTTGTTCTCTCTTTAGTCTTTGTCCCAATATTTGTCTTTAGTTTTATTGTATTCTTCTCTTACTTATAAACGTCTAAACAATAATATCATCCAATTAATATTTGTTATTTTTTATTACATCAGATCAAATACCACTATTCAATATGATGTAATAAAAAAACTATTTGGCAAGACAATTTATGTAATTAAAGCTTCTTTTGTCAAGTAAAAATTTATTTTAAGTGTGTTTGGCAAAACATTTCAACTAGCTAAAACTTATTATACTAAGAAAAAGCTTGATTAAGAAAAACAATATTTTTTTTAGCTCCTAACTGGAAGTGGTATTGTTATTTTATCTCCATTATTTTTAAATATTTTTTCACATATTTAATTTTTAAAATCTTACTTTCTTTACTTTAATTACATTGAAAATGAAAGAAATATATCACAAATAATAATAAATAAATATCAAAACACTCATCATTTTAGAAAAGAATAAATTATTAATTAATGTCTTCAAAAAGATTTAACAATATCATAAAATCATATTATTTATAATAAAATATTTATAAATAAGAGTAAGATTAAAAGTTTATTATCTTAATTTAAATATAATGAATAATTTTAAATAAATTAAATATAAAACTTATAATTTATACAATTACTAAATGTTAAATTTGAATTTACTTATTTTCATTTTACATTTACTAGTCTAACAACTAATTTTGGTCTTTCAAATTTTATTTAATATTTGAAGTTTCATCTACTCTTGATATTCTTTTGTGAAATCCTATAACTGGTTTATGTATAAAATAAATGGGATTTTCAAAATGTAACGAGTCCAGGAAGTGTCCTCCGCAATGGACGGTTTTGATGCATGGTCCATCTGTTTCCCAGAGAAAGTAAATGAACACATGGCCACCACCAATTTTTTTCTCTGAAATAAAAAAGGAACATAACTGAACCAGTAGTTGATGAATCACTGTCAACACAAATTGAAATTTTGAGTAAGCTCAAGATATATTCATTAGCCATTGTTTTCCCAGTTCGAATTTCGTTTTATTATTGACATATCCTGTTTTTAGTTGTTTAACTGAATTGGAAAATAATATGAGAGGAAGAAAAAAAGTCCAAGGAATGCCCAATGGGGCACCCTTTCAGCT